TAACATGCAATTCAGAATCTTATTCTCAAACAGTCAAGACAGAAGTATTCCATTTTGAATTTACTGTTTCTCAAATTTCACCGCTTCCTGTTCCGTAACGTGTCTTCCGGTTATAGAAAAAAAAAATTGCGTCATCAAGTCGAATTTGCGCAATTATCGTCAATAGGAAAAGACAGCCATGACTTTTCTGTTTCCCGTTCTTTGTTCCCTGTGAATATAATATCATATTTTATATGCAAGCTAAAATATCTACATACACGTTCTCTGTGCTCGTTACCGACGAGTTAATGCGAATACTCTACCCACCGCAGGTTCCTTCTATAATGAAACACTCGGCGAAGTTTCCACAAATTCTGATTGTCGTTTAATCAGATAACTGAAGGATTTCATTGACAATCCTCTAGTTAAACATTAGAAGTGATGTCAATATAATATGTAGCGTTATTTCTATTTTAGCAAAAAATATTTTTTTAATATTCTCCTTTCCTTCACATTTATTCAATGGTAAATACTATTCATATTGAAAATATTATATAATGAAAATGGCAAGTCGACTTACAGCTCAATTCATGTGTAATAATAAAATCTATACATATATAAATACACACACACACACATATATATATATAAATACATATATATATATATACACACACACACACATATATATATATATATATATATATATATATATATATATATATATATATATATATATAAACAAACAAACAAAAAACAGAAACAGGAGAACCTTGCCAATGCGTCAAAAAGTGGTCTATGCCACTCGAATCAATATATATATATATATATATATATATATATATATATATATGAAGAAATATACTCTTAAGGTGTGTTATATTTTTGGGATAAAATGCTCAATATCAGAGGTAGAGCGTGTGTAAATATAACATTATTAAATATAAAAATATTCACTTATATATATATATATATATATATATATACAAATAAAATAAGAATACTAATAAAATAATGCAATGCAATAAATAATTAAACAATTCAAGTAAGTAATTAAGTAATGAAGAAACTACAAATGCACATATGAACACAATTAAACCTAATAATAGCCATCAACAACAAAAATAAAGTAATTCATAATAGATAGTAATTAATAATATTTAATTAAAAACAATTAATTATTAAAATAATAATAATTATAATTAATAATACATAATAGGTAAAAAGTTAAACAAGCAGCACTTTAATATAGTTATAAACCTCATTCGGATCCAAGACGTTATTACATGACGTTTGTTTGATTTAATCCAAACATTTCTATCGAATCGTGAAATTAAGGACGTTCTGAACGGGCTCGCTTTCTGATCCTTTATCACGGACGCGGCTGTCCCCAAAGGTTATATAAGGT